GTGGGAGTATGGCTCAATTCTTTAGTGCCCCGCTGCTCAAACCTCTAGAGGAGCTTACAGACAGTCAGGCTGTGGGGCTCCAAACCCACGGCAGTGTCTAGGGGTGAATGCTTAACAGCTGAAGCCCCAGTGGTTGTGTGTTACAGGGTGCTCTTTTAGTTTAGCTGTCCATAGGTGGCTTGTGTTAGTCAGCTCAGTTAGACCCCTGCCTTATCACAAGAACAGAGGGCTTTCTGTATCCCAAGGCTCTTGTCTTGTACTGGAAGAATTGAATCACACATGGGCTTGGAGAATGATTGTAAGGTTTTATTTTGTGGAATTAACTCAGCAGATTGGGGAGCCAGAAGGTAGATGGTTTTTCCCTGGAGTTGGGCTATTCTGTGGCCCAGGCTCTTCTACTGCCCCGGCCAAACTCCGCCTTGTTCCACAGCCTGTTGGCATCTGTCATGTGGTCTTCTGCGGCATGTTCCCCTCCACGTCCTCTCGACGTCCAGCTGTGTGTGTCTTCTTCTGCCAGTGTGTTCCTCTAGAAGTCCAGGCGCTTGTGTGTCTGCCTGCTAGGGTTTTGGGAGAGGTTTATAGGCTCGGCAGGAGGTGTGGCAGGCCAGGATGGTCTTGGGAAATGCAACATTTGGACGGGAAAACAAATATGCCTATCTTCACTGAGGTCCATGGGTACAGGCCCAAGGATGGAGCCCTAGCCAGGGACCATGTCCTCCTTTACCCAGTACTTCCCTTACCCACTTCTGTATCATTTAAAGAGCCCAAATTCTACTCTACCCAGCACATCCGTGTCACTCCTACCTCAGCCTCCCAAGTAGCTAGGACTACAGGTGTGTACCAACACACCAGCTAGTTTTGTTTTTTTTCTTAAGACAGGGTCTCCCAATGTTGCCCTGGCTGGTCTCAAACTCCTGGACTCAAGCACTCCTCCCACATCAGCCTCCCAAAGTGCAGGGACTACAGGCTTGAGCTACTGCACCAGCCCCCTCTTTCTGATTGTTACCTTCTCCTGGAAGGTGATAAATGAAGCTATGTTTGTTTCAGTGAATAACAGAATATGAAATCCTGTAAAGCCACATAGGTTATTAGATGAATGTCACAGAGCTTATTATGCTCTATGGCTTAATATAGATTATAGATGTGACCAAATGGTAATTAGCAGAGTCGGAGCTGTAATTCAATACTATTGTGCTGCTCTGTGATCTCTCTTCAGATTTCTGTTTCGAAGTAAACAGAAAACGAACAGTTCAAACCCAAAGGTGGATTTCATCACTTCTTCCCACCCCCAAACATCCCTTTTCATTAAGTAATTAGATAAAGTCTTCTTCATACAACAGAGATGCCAAACTCTGCCTAGTAACTCTAATCAGTAAGGGTAGTTTGATGCATGTTTGTTAATGAGTTCTTCATGTGTATGAGTCTGTTTTGTTATTCTTAGTGATCAGTTCAGCTAAATTTTCTTCTCTTCATTTATTCTGTAACAGGGTGTAATTTGGCAAACTGCTTGAATGCAACAGTGATGTTTCCAATCTACATTTTAGGTGTTCTTTTCTTGGTTTCTTTGTGCAAAATTGGGTGCTTGACTTTATCTAGAATGTATTAGAATATATTTCTCCTGGCTTGCCAAGAGCACTGAATAACCTAGCCGGAAATGAAACTACTACCAGAAAAGAGCTGTCTTTAGTGGCTCATAGAGTGTACAGGTTTCTCCCTGGGGTAAACTTTCTTCTGTGCCTAGGGTTGCTGCCTGAACTGTGGAATAGGTTGGCAATAGGACATGTGCAAAAGGCAATCAGAAAGTTCACAGGAGTGACCTGGAAGGTTTAGGTCAATGTCTGTGTCCAAGAGGACCTTGCAGGAATTTATCTTACTAATAGAAGAAATTATAGAAAAGAGAACAAACCCGAAGCAAAAGAAGTACACATATGGGCTGTGAAACTGCTTCTGTCACAGGTTTTCCCCAAGAGAAAGAACAGAGAAACAGAGGTGAGGCCAAGAGTAAAGATGATCTGTATACTTCCCCTCTCTAGTGACTCCCAAGGGTTTCTTCCATCACTGCAGAGGAGTGAGTTGAAAGGTTCCGGTTTACTTTTTCTGTGTTGTTTTTACCTTCACTTCTGTGCATGTTTAAAGGATCTCTCCAGGATCTACCACATCCCAGAAAGTTTGGCAAGTTAAATTATAAATGCCCAGTTTTCAAGAGAGCAGATATGCCTTTTGGCATTTATCATAAATGTAGACAATTCATTATACAGGCTTCCACTTCATTTTATGAAAAAGGTGGAGTTAGGCAGGTACAAGGGGTATGTGTGAGAGAATAATCAGATAAGGATAATGTTTTGGCAGCTCTTCAGGGAGCAGAATTAATCAGAATCAGTGTATAAACATTTTGTGGACTCACAATGATGATCTATGATCTGCAAATAGTGATGATTTTCTAAGCCAAGAAGTCAGAGCCAACTGTGGAGAATGGATGCAGTACCCAGACCTCAGCTTGTAGGCTAGTTTTCAAGGCCAGGAAGGTGTTTGTCCCTTTGTGTGTTGTGAGAGGGAAATGGATTATAGATAGAGTGATAGTCATGTAGTAAATTATTCCAGAATCAGAGTTCTGTTGCAGGGCTATTCAGAAGCTGGGATTAAGGATACATGTATGATCTTCTCTGATGTCTCTATTCAAGGACTACATTTAACCTAGACTTAAAATGTTATCACAAGGGGAAGAGTCCCAAAGACTTGAAAAGTCCCAATCATTGACTCTTGTTTTCTGGGTCTGCTGATTGGTATTCTACTTAATCTCCAGAGGAAAAAAGCCAGTGTGTGCATTGAGAGTCTTCGTATATGCAAGACATTATGCTCATATAGGATTGAGGTACCAATAGACTCAATTCTGAGTGATGCCCCAATCCTGAATGAGCATAATAGACTTTGTCAGTCTCATAAATTCTGGTATTTAAAGAGTGCCGTGGTGCAATCATAGCTCATTGTAGCCTCAATCTCTTGGGCTCAAGTAGTCCTCCCACCTCAGCCTCTGGAGTAGCTGAGAATACAGGCATGTGCCACCACACACAGATACCTTTTTTATTTTTATTTATTTATTTATTTATTTTTGAGACGGAGTTTTGCTCTTGTTACCCAGGCCGGAGTGCAATGGCGCGATCTCGGCTCACCACAACCTCCGCCTCCTGGGTTCAGGCAATTCTCCTGCCTCAGCCTCCTGAGTAGCTGGGATTACAGGTGTGCGCCACCATGCCCAGCTAATTTTTTGTATTTTTAGTAGAGATGGGGTTTCACCATGTTGACCAGGATGGTCTCGATCTCTTGACCTTGTGATCCACCCGCCTCGGCCTCTCAAAGTGCTGGGATTACAGGCGTGAGCCACTGCGCCCGGCTATTTTTATTTTTTACAGAGGTGGGGTCTTCTTGCTATGTTGCCCAGGCTAGTCTTAAACTCCTGGCTACCTCCTCCCTAGGCCTCCCAAAGCATTGGGACTACAGACATGAGCCACCACACCTTACCCATCACAACTTTTATGTTGTCTCTAGATGTGTTGCATTCTTCTTGGAACCTAACTATTTACATTCTTGTGAGAGGTTCTGGTTTTGAAGGCAGATTGCTAGTATTTGACTATTGACTATTTCTTTTTGTTTGTTTGTTTGTTTTAAGACAGAGTCTTGCTCTGTTGCCCAGGCTGGAATGCAGTGGTGCAATCTCAGCTCATTGCAACCTCCGCCTCCCAGGTTCAAGCTATTCTCCTGCCTTAGCCTCCCGAGTAGCTGGGATTACAGGCGCCTGCCACCATGCCCAGCTAGTTTTTGTATTTTTAGTAGAGATGTGGTTTCACCATGTTAGGCTGGTCTCTAACTCCTGACCTCAGGTGATCCACCCACCTCAGCCTCCTGAAGTGCTGGGATTACAGGCATGAGCCACTGTGCCCAGCTGAGTATTTCTATCTATGTGTACATAATCAACTACATCTTTAGAGTATTATGGATTGGCTTCTGTGTGGCAACAGCACCTCCTGTTTCTTACAAATTAAACAACCACTGTTATAGTCTCTAAGGGTTAGAAACTCCCACCAGATTAATCCTAGCACTCCTATAACTTTTAAGTAGATTCCTTCTAGCTAAATATGTATTAAAGTACCTAAGATCATTAGGAATCATGGCATTCCTAGGATTTGGCTGTTTCTTCCTCTCTTTATCCCCAATCAAATTCGTGGATTTTATGCCAGACTAATGTACTATTTGCTGAATTGTAGATTGGTAGGAAGCATAGTGGTGGTAGCAGAACATACCTCAGATGCTGGGCCTTGTCTTTCTCATCAGTCTGTGCACTCTGTTACTATTGAAATCTGGCACTGATTCTCTTTTATTAGAGACTTTTTTTAGTGAGATGAGAAAAATAGAACTTTTTAAAAAAATGCGCCAACTGTAGTTTATGAGGAAGATCATTACAAGCTTTTTTTTTTTTTTTTTTTTGAGACGGAGTTTTGCTCTTGTTACCCAGGCTGGAGTGCAATGGCGCGATCTTGGCTCAGCGCAACCTCCACCTCCTGGGTTCAGGCAATTCTCCTGCCTCAGCCTCCTGAGTAGCTGGGATTACAGGCACATGCCACCATGCCCAGCTAATTTTTTTTTTGTATTTTTAGTAGAGACAGGGTTTCACCATGTTGACCAGGATGATCTCAATCTCTTGACCTCGTGATCCACCCGCCTTGGTCTCCCAAAGTGCTGGGATTACAGGCTTGAGCCACCACACCTGGCCTATAAGCTTATTAATAAGAATTTCTCTTAATACAGGATGCTGTCATCTAAACCACTAGATTTGTAGTGGTATCATAAGCCAGAACTTGAAAAGAAGAACCAAAGTCTCTTATATTTACAGCTGTCTGCATTCTGGCATTAATAGATGTAGGACTAGATTAAATACAGAAAACGTATTTTTTTCTCAGTGTTCGCTGTGCAACTCAGCTACTACTTTTTCTTCCCCCCAACAGATGGAGTCCCCTGTTTCTACACCAGCGGTACTGCCAATACACCTTTTGGTGCCAGTGGTCAATAATGACATCTCATCTCCTTGTGAGCAGATCATGGTTCGTACCCGATCAGTTGGGGTCAACACATGTGATGTGGCTCTAGCCACAGAGCCTGAGTGCTTGGGCCCCTGTGAACCTGGAACTAGCGTCAACCTTGAAGGCATCGTGTGGCAGGAAACGGAAGATGGTAAGTGCGATATGTGGCTTTCCCATTCTTTCTCACCCTTCTTCTGCAGAGGAGCTACCAGGGGCTTATTGTTGTAAATACTGCAAAGTGTTTATTAGACTCTCAAGTGTCCACAGTCTGCAAGTGATACCCACACAGAGGATTTTAGCAGACTGAGCAAAATTTGCCAGCTTCTAGAGATTGCCAATGCCAGCTTTTTAGATTAATTATCTTTGCTTCATTCTTTAACAGTGTTGACCTTGGTACTTAAGCAGTCATGTGATAGTTGTTGGCCAGGTAATTCAAACTGTATCTCCATATCCCTTCTATCATTTTATATGAGAGAGTTAGATTATAAATTAAATTCGAGGTCAGGCTTGAAGAGAAAAAGTAATAAAAGGGCAGCTGAGGGAGTCACTGGAATGAATAGTCACTCTTAAATTGACTTAATGTTGGCTCATTGCATATGCTGGTCTTGCCTTTTTTAACACCTGTAGGTACAGCCAGCTTACTCTTCCCACTGATTGCCTCATTGCCCAGCCACCCACACCACTTCATGTGTCTGTCACTTAGTACAGATTTTATAGGCCAAGGCAACAGAGAAATGTTTAGATGGTCTTGTTTTCAGGTATCCACTAACCGGTTGGTTCACTGTAGGTTGCTGCTGCCCAACGCATGTAGACTTCTTGCATATTCCATTTGCCCCAGAGAACAGAATCTCTTCTGTTTTGGAAATTCATGAACCTGAAAAAAATGGAAGTGTAAAGGGACTTAATGGGGTTATTTCAGATCTTTTGGTAATATCTGGTGGCAATTTGATTTCTGCATATTCTTTTTATAAAGAATCCAAGTCCTTGTCAGAGTATATGTGGTTAGAGAGGCTGGGCCTCAGAGTCCTGTCATGTCTCTGCATCAGTAACCAGACTTTCAAACTATCCTCACTCTGAGGAATTTAGAGGCCAAGAGGAGCACAGCTAATCATCTCTGATTATCACAGAGCAATCTTGTCAGTCTGCCCATAGGAATTCAGGCATTTCATTCTGGTGATTTTAACAAAAGTCTGTTTCCCTGAATATTTTGTTGTCATTCAGTATTTATTTAAAGTTTACCATGCAGTAGGTGCTGTTGTGTTACAGGTTAAGAACTCTGTGTTCTGGCCTGTCTCGTCATTAGGGATATAATACATCCTCAGCTTTCAGAATAACATTGCTAATGAGATTTTTATCATGTGCCTGTGTGGTAGAAGCTGATGCAGAGAAGGTAGAGGGTGAGTTTAACTCTGGAGGTTGACTCTGGGTATGTGTGTACAATATACCATCTGAAAATCACAAAGTGGCTATCTAATTTTTAAAATATCATCTGCTTATGGACAAATCTGAATAATCACAGAGTCTGTTGGAATGACAGACATATCCAAACCACATCTCTGTGCCACCAAGCAACCTTCAAGGCCTCTTGCCTTAATATATTGAAGATAGAATAAATCAATTTCCTGCCTATTTGTTCTGCTTGTCCTTATGACAGTGACTCTTTTCCATGGACAAGATGCTTTTTGTATATGTGAACCTAACAAAAACTTCTGGAGAGTGAGGCTAATGCTTTCACTCTCTTGAGGACAATATACCTGTTTATCTGATGATTCCTTCCTGCCAGGGGGAAGCTAACAAATAATTTTTTTAAATTTCTTGTAAATTATTTGCTCTGAAAGGCTCTCTTATCAGGTTGTCACAGGCAGCCTATTATTACCAAGTTCCCCTGTTACATTTGTTTGTTTGTTTTTCATTTTTTGGATTTTTTTTTTTTTTTGAGACAGAGTCTTGTTCTGTCGCCCAGGCTGGAGTGCTGCAGTTCGATCTTGGCTCACTGCAACTTCTACCTCCCAGGTTCAAGCAATTCTCCTGCCTCAGCCTCCTGAGTGGACGACAGGCACATGCCACCACGCACAGCCCATTTTTGTATTTTTAGTAGAGACGGTGTTTCACCATGCTGGCCAGGCTGGTCTTGAACTCCTATGATATGCCCACCTCTGCCTCCCAAAGTGCTAGGATTATAGGTTTGAGCCACCTCCCATGGCCCAATATGTACTTTTAAGGTACTCTGTACTTTATTTCATAGTACACATCACAGTTTGCAACTTTGTTTATAATTTTATGATTTTTCTATTAATGTCTATCTCTTCTACTGTGTTAGAAGTTGTGTGAGATCAGGCACTCTGTTTTGCTCATCATTGTAACCAAAGTAGTTAACGTAGGTGGCAGCTGACACCTATAGTAGTAGACTGTCAAAAATATTTGTTTGAGGCCAGGAGTAGTGGGTCACCTCAGGTCAGCAGTTGGAGACCAGCCTGGCCAAGATGGTGAAACCCCATCTCTACTAAAAATACAAAAAAATTAGCTGGGCATGGTGTTGTGTGCCTGTAATCCCAGCTACCTGGGAGGCTGAGACAGGAGAATCGCTTGAACCCAGGAGGCAGAGGTTGCAGTGAGCCGAGATCGTGCCATTGCACTCCAGCCTGGGTGACAGAGCAAGACTCTGTTAAAAAAAAAAACAACATTTGGGTGAATAAAGAAATGCTTGCATCTATGTCATTGTGATTTCTGGATCTATCTTAATATATATCTAGTGGGTATTAAAATACTGCTTGAAACTTAGGAATGGTGTCACAATACTTTCCAAAATTCTAATCTTCTCTGAAATTCAGAATAACTACTGCTTTCACCAGGTTTGAGATCAGTCTCATTGTCTAAATCTATAAGTTTTTGTTTTTTGTTTTTTTTTTTTAGATGGAGTGTCACTCTGTCTCCCAGGCTGGAGTCCAGTGGCGCCATCTCGGCTCACTGCAACTTCCACCTCCCAGGTTGAAGCAATTCTCCTTACTGAGACTCCTGAGTAATTGTGATTATAGGTGCCCACCACCATGCCCAGCTAATTTTTGTATTTTTAGTAGAGATGGGGTTTCACTACGTTGATCAGTCTGGTCTCGAACTGCTGACCTCAGGTGATCTGCCCGCCTCAGCTTCCCAAAGTGTTGGGATTACAGTGTGAGCCATTGCGCCCAGCCCAGATTTTTAATCCTACTTTTAATACCAGGTTTTCTCCCACTTACTATATTTCAAGGCTTAGCTCTGTTCTATATTTTTTTATTTCATCCCAAGGGAAAGAGAACTGTTCTACAATAATATACTCATTTTTCTTTGCTTTCTGGTCACCCCAGAGGGCCTTCACCTGAACTGTCAGTTGGCGAAGATCTGAATTGTGATCAGAGTTGGTTCAGATTCCTTTTCATCTTCAGGTAACAGAGATTTCCTGCAAAGATTATTCTCTAAAGATCTATAAGATCCAGTATACTGAGTCAGTCCTCAAGTTAATCATAAGAACTACATACAGATACTTTTTAAAAAAATTCTTCCAGACTTCTAGGTTTTTTGTCTGCCACTCAACATTTTGTACTTCTGTCTGTCTCTTTGTCCAGCAAACTACTTACTGTCTTCAAACAGAAAAGTCCTTACAGCTCAGAGCGAAGCTGTGAATGCTTGGCCTCTGAGGGGATGGAGGACACTGAGGTTCCTGTAGAACTGAGCCACCTTGCTGAGAACAGGTGTAGGAGTCATGGCCTCAATTATTCCTAGTTTCTTTGCCTACTTGTCCTACAGTGTTACTTCTTTCTATCCTCTTCTTTGCCTATTGCTCACTTTAAACCTTGCCTTGGAGGCATTTTTAAATTCCTGCAGATTCCATTTTCTTTTAGTTTGTTCATAATTCAGTCAGCACTGCAAAGATCATACTTGACTGGATTCAACCTTGGAACTGTTAAGAAGACCCAAGTGTAACCTAGAATTTTTTGTTTGTTTGTTTTTGAGACATTCTCAGCTCTATACAAGGGCCATTTCCACTGGATTTTGCTTTATCTCACCTCACTTCAAATCAAAATATTAAATATTGCCGAGGCAGGTGGATCATCTGAGGTCAGGAGTTTGAGACCAGCCTTGCCAACATGGGGAAACCCTGTCTCTATTACAGATGCAAAAATTAGCCAGTAATCCCAGCTACTTGGGAGGCTGAGGCAGGGGAATTACTTGCATCCAGGAGGTGGAGGTTGCAGTGAGCCGAAATTGTGTCACTGCACTCCAGTGTGGGCAACAGAGTGAGACTTTGTCTCAAAAAACTACCAAGTACCAAGTCTATTCTGGGTTCACAAGGCCTAACTCTAATCCGGGATCCTGGAAACAAAGTTTAAGAAGCCTTAAAGAAGACTGTATACTTTTTCTGACACAAAATTGCTTACTAGCTTGTATGGTATTTTAAAGAAAGGCAAGGCTGACCTTTAGGTAAGAATTCCCGGAGAATGCTGTAGTTCTCCTTTCTGGCCAGTAGCACTAACCCAAAGGCTAATACCAGTTGTGTAGTTTACTTTGGCAAATGTGCTTTATGGAAGAATTTATGGTATAATGGAAGGAGCACTGGGCTAAAAATCTGGAGACTTCTATATCTCTACCACTATCATTATGACCTTGGAAAAATCCCTTAATTTTCCTGGGCCTTATTTACCTCATCTTTTAAGTTGAAATAAATGACCAAGTAGGACCTGTCAGTTCTTTTTTTTTTTTTTTTTGAGACGGTTACACTGTGTCACCCAGACTGGAGTATGCAATAAAATCATCTCTCACTGTAGCCTCAGACTCTTGAGCTCAAGTGATCCTCCTTCCTTGGCCTCCTGCGTAGCTTGGACTACAGGCATGTGTGGCCATACTCAGCTAAATGTTTTCTTTTCTTTTTTTTTTTTTTTTAAATAGAGACAGAGTCTTGCTGTGTTGCCCAGGCTGGTCTCAAACTCCTGACCTCAAGTGATCCTCCTGCCTCAGCCTCCCAAAGTGCTGGCATTACAGGTGTGAACTACCATGCCTAACCTGTCAGCTCTTAAGTTATAAGAATCTATGCAGACCAGGTGTGATGGCTCATGCCTGTAATTCCACCAGTTTGGAAGGCCGAGGCAGATGGATCACTTGAGCCCAGGAATTTGA